CCTTCAATGGGTGAATATTAAAACAAACTGTGGTCATCCATACAATGGAACACTACTTAGCTATAAAAAGTAACACATAATGAATCTCAAAGACATACTGAAAGAAGCCAGTCTCCAGAGGTTACATCCTCTATGATGCTATGTATGTGACATTCTAGAAAAGGCAAATCTAAGGAACAGTGAACAGATTGGTATGTGCCAGAGGCTGGGGTGGGGCAAAGGTCTGAATACAAAGGGGTGGCATAAGAGAATTTTGTGGGTGATGGAACTGCTCTGTGTCCCGATTGCAGAGGTAGTTACACAAATGTGTTAAAACAGAACTGTACATACAAAAAATTAATTTTGTGGTATGTTAATTCAAAATTTTTAAAAATGAAGATAAAATATGTCCCAATCAATTTCTCTTTAAAAAGGTTATGAAAGAAATTTTCCATCTGGGTTTCTTCCAGAAAGGCTGCTTCGTGGGGGCTCTGCTACACCAGCCCTGGTGTTTGTGGGTCTGTTTATCCATCTGTAAAACGAGAAGTCAGTCTAAAGCAGGGCTTTTCCTTCTCCCCTGCACCCTAAAATTACACCCCTGGGCATGCCCTTTATGGAAGCAGGGGTAGGGTAGTTTGGAGGGAGAAGGCATTTGGCTTCCACTGGGCTCTGGACTCACACAGCAGTTGTGCTTTTGTCTGTCTCATATATTGTTCTTCTGAAAACCTCTGGATTAGAACAGTTGGTCTTGAGTCAGATCCTCAGGCCCCTGGAGGGTTTGAACAATCCTGGATTTCAGGGCCTATAGGTGGGGCCCACTCATTTGTCCCTGTGGACCCCAGTGGTTAGCATTGGCGTTAATGGTCAGCAATCTAAACAAGGCCTTTTTTGGGGAAGCTGGAAGTGTGCTCCTTGCTTTAGGACCCCCAGTCACACGTGGATTCAACACAATGGAAACTCTGAAAAGGCTACAAAGTCTAGGCCTCTTCTAAGGTAGGGTCTGAAAGGCCTCAAACCACTTTTTTCCCCACAGGATGACATTTTGGAAGAGCACTTTGTAAACAGTGAAGGGCTATGCACAGATGCGGGAAATGTCATCATGAGGATGACCATGCTGACCCAGACCAGCAGGGCCAAAGCATCATTCAGGACGAAAGTTGCTACCATAAGCACCTACCACGTGCCAGGCGCCGTGTTAAGGGATCGTTGACTCTCCATGACAATGCTGTGAGGAAGGGGCTGTCACTGCTTGGACAGATGAGAAAGCTGAGGTGCCAAGAGGTCCCGATCACATGCGGGAGGAGGTGACAAGGCTAGGTTCTGGTCTATAGCTCTGGCCTTTCAAATCGAGACCTGTGAGAGGAACCTCTGAAGCCTGATATCAGGCCTGCTCTCCACATGTGCCCCTAAGAAGGAAACTCATGCCACCTTTCGTCAAGGCTGGCGGGGGGCTGCCAAGGGTTCTTTGAGACCTTGCCATTTACAAAGGCACTCAAAATCAAAAATATCTTTAAAAAATTTTATACTGTGGAATGCTTTCTTTGAAAACGATGCCATGTGTAAATCAAATCCAGAAAACCAGAGATGGGCCCCCGTGGGTCGAAGGTGGAAGCAGGGTTGGCCTGGGCCCCCAGGACTCCCGAGGCACCACCTGAAGGCCACTTACCTAGTGGGTCGGCGCACTTACTGTGAACAGCACAGGAGGTGCCATGATGCTTAAGGCTCTGGCTTCAGGTTTGAAAGAATTGAGTGGAACTGTGGCTGACTCATTCCTAGGTTAGTCGGTCTAGGGGAGGGCAGCAGGATTGCAGGCTTGCCAAACGCTTTAGGTGCTAGTCCATTTGACCTGGGCACTGGCCTCACTCTCCCCACTGGCCAGCAGCCATGACCTGTCACTTAGAAGGGTAGGAAATTTCTCTGTACCATTGTATAGTTAGTGAATTTAATCTTTGAAGATACGGATAATAAGGTTAAAAGCTACAGCACCTTTCCTTTTTCTCGGACCCTTATAAAAGGCATCATCTGTTTTTTCTGTATCAGCAAAAGTGGAACGTTTTAAGTTCAGATCTTGGTGGAGGGTCAACAGCAGATCTGCACCTCTGACCTGGGTGCGGGGGTGCGGGGGGTGCTGGCAGGCTCACAGTGGAATCATCAAATGGACCTCCTTCTCGTAGATGTCAGGGATCACTCCCATAGGGGAGCTGACCATGTGCACGGTATTCTTGCCAAACAGCTGGAATTCATAGTGGATGAGCTGCTCCCAAAAGCCATTGTTGGGTCGGATGATGGGCCGGCATGACTTGGTCCACGTGTGGGCGTCCAGCAGGGACATGGCATGGTACTTCATGAGGTAGGCCAGGCAGAGGGCAGCTGAGCGGCTCACGCCAGCAGCGCAGTGCAGCAGCGTGCGGCCCTGCTTCAGCTCTACGCTGTGGATGTGGTCAGCAATGGGGTCAAAGAAGTCACAGAGACGCGAGATGGGTGTGTCGGCCACAGGCACCTGTACGTACTGGATGTCCTCGTATAAGGTATTTACCACTTCCACCGACACGTTGATGACCGTGGTGATCTGGTTGCTGGAGAGCATGAGCTTGTTGTTGGCGGCCACCCCATTGCTGACATACAGGCTGCTGGTGATCTGTGAGAGGCCACTGACCGAGGGCTGCCGGAACTGAACCGGAAACGTACACGGGGGTGCTGTCATCAGGCCAGTGGGTCAGCGGCCAGTGAGGCACAAGGGCTACATCTTTCTGTTGGGCTGTGCCATGGAAAACTGCAAGGAGGAAGAGAATGCTTAGAGAGCAGGAGCCCAGCTGGGCCAGAGAGCCAACCCCAGGGGATTTCTGGGAAGTGGATGGGTGGGTCTATAACAGGATCCCCAGGGCGGTCCTCTGACCATCACAGCAGAACTACCCAGAGAACTTATCTCCAACTCTGGAAGTCAAGGCCTCCCTTGGGGGGGCTCCACATCTCTAGTTGGGCAGGCGGACTTGTGTCCATCAGCTGCGCCCTGGCCTCTCTGTCTAGGTTCACACAGCCACTTGCCCAGTCTTGCTTCTGTTCTGACTTTATGCTCAAATCATGAGACTCTGGAGCAGCGACATGAGGAGTCACTGGTGGTATAAGAGAGAGGAGGGTCTCAGCTTCCCCCCTCCAAGAAACCCTCTAAAGAGACAGGATGTGCCCCTGTGAAAGTGACATCAATTACAGAGTCCTACATCATTAACCAAGCTCCTGCAATTGGCCTCTAAGGAGGGCACCTAGGGAAGAAGGCAGCTGGAAGCTTCCTGGAGGCCAGGATGGGGGGCACTACAGCAGCTCCCAGAGAAGCAGAGGGGCCTCAGGTAGACAAGCTATACCAGCATGATGCTGTGCGCAGCAGGGTTGTGGCAAGCACCCCAGCGAGGGCCACGCCCCTGCTTTGTCCTAAGAAATCCCAGGTCCTTCACTCTCTCAGTCTTGCACAAAGCTGCAAAAATAGCACATTTTCACATGTTCCACTGAAACAGGAGTATTCGGATTTAGAGCACACTTCTCAAGGCCAAATGGCAGTTGTCATCAGGCAGAGACAAATGAGGAGCAGAGTTCTGTTCCCCTGCTTAATATATTTCACTGGCTGCCCACTGTCAGGATGAGATGGAGCCTTGACTGTCAAGGCCATTTGTGGTCTGGCTCCTGCCCATCTCTAGCCTCTTCTGCTCCATCCTGAAAGGCCTTGGCTAGGCTGAGCCATTGCAGTGCCATATGGATACCTGGTCCTCCCTGGCCCAGGGCCTTTGCCTTTGCTGTTCTCTTGGCCCAGAACCCTCTTTCCCTACAAGCCTATCAGATCCTGATCTGTTCCATTCAGCAGAGGACTTGGGATCTTAGCTAAGGGTCACTTCCTGAGGGAAACCCCTTGGAACCATACCCTTCCCCCAGGTTTAATCAAGTCCCTGCTCCAGGCTTTCTAAGCCCTATGTGATCTTCTTCCTACCACTTCCTAAAGATGTGGTTTTGTTTTGATTTGTCCGTGGTTCTACTGGGATTCACTGTAACTATCTTTACTCCTACTGTATCACCAATGCTAAGTTCTCTGTCCATATAAGTGTGCTTGATAAATATTTGTTGAATGAGGAATGGCTCCAACAGCCACAACTCTGTCATCTCAGAGATCTTCTGGAAAGGATGAGTTTTCTGGCCTTGTTTGTCTAGAATTTGGGGGCAGAACTTGGTGGAGGTGAGGGTGGTTCCTAAGTTGCTGGAGAGGAAGGACAAAGGCTACTTAGGAAATCCTGCCAGCCAATGCCCCAGAGTCAAATGCATCAGGCTCACCCCAGGAAGGCCAGATGGGGCTGTCTGTTCTAAAGGTCATGTGGGGGCAGAGAGAAAGCTCCCCAAAACTCAGTTGAAAGCCTAAATGCTAAGGGATGTTCCATCACCCAAACTGATGGATCCTTATCACCCGAAAACCCAGAGAAAAGTGAACTGAGGGTCTCCAAAATTAGTGCCCAGTGGGCAACAGGAATAGAGGAAACTGCTATTCATCACAGTGACAATGAGTGTGCAGAGAAGACTTCTCTTGATGGTGAGGGTAGGGATGGGAGGAGAGACTTTTTCATGCTAGTCAAGAGATATTTATCAGGCTTTGTATTAGGTGCTGGGGGTATTGAAATGTACAAGACAGTCATGGTCCCTTCTCTCACAGAGCTCAAAGTCTAGTGGGACAGACAGACATTAAATAGGCAATTATAGGCACAACAGGGCTGGAAAATAGGGATAACAATGCCTGTCTTATAAGGATCTTCTGAGGATGAAATGAGGTAACCCCAGGTAAAGTGTTTAACACGGAGCCTGACACAGAGTAAGCCCTCTATAAATGGTAACTATTCTTGCCGCTGTTAGGGACGGTGAAATGTAGGGCTTTATGGGAGTGAAGAATAAAGGGGTTTATTTCAGGCTCGGGGCGAGGGAGTTGCAAAGATCGCCTCAAGAAATGACACAAAGATCTGAAGAACATTTAGCGTGAGGGGGAGCGTGGTGGTGATTAGTTTCACCATTTTATGGCCTACAAAGCCTTAGGCTTCCTTCATCTGGTTCGGTCTTCAAGCCAACATAATAGGTGTCTGTAGTTAATATCTCCATTTTACACACGGAAAAGTGAAGTAGAGAGGAGAAAAGGACCTGCCTAGGGTCACGAAGCAAGGTCCGAAAGCTGGTCTTTCTGGTCTCATCACGTGTGGGAAAAGTCGGCAAACACCGGGGGCGTTCATTAATACTGGTTTATAAGCGTGGGACGAAGTCCACGGCTTGACAAGAGCAAAGAGCCACTTTCAGGGGTGAGCCTCCTAGGTTTTCTGGGGAGTTGACGTTGGAATGGGCTCCCTCGCCTCCTGGATGTTAAGAGCCCCCACAGTCTTACCTCTCTCCCGTGGGCGGGAGGGCAGGTTCGTTCAGGAAGCAATCGCGCCCGAAGCCTCGGGTGAGGGTCTCGGGGAGAGAGAAGATCCGTCACCATCCGGGAGCCACAATCCCCCGCTGCCCCGCGCTCTGGTTTCCATAGCAATGGTCCCTCCTCGCGGTGAGGAATCCGCAGCGCCGGGTCTTCGGAGAAACCCCGGGCTCGCTTCGGTTCCCTGGAGCTGCCCCGCCCGGCCCTACCCGGTTACCCGCCCCGCGATCACGCGGGGGCCACATGAATCCTAGCGGAGAGGTAGTGTCAGCTCAGCGCGCCGCAGCCCGCTCCATCTCGCCCGGCTCGTCTCCACGGCAACGCGGCGGGCTGCACCACGGCGGCCGCCGAGGGACAATCCTGCCGCGTCCTCAGCCTCCTAGACTCCGCGCATACGGCCCGCCCCAAGGTCCCACCTTCCGTCACGCGTCTCCCGGGCAACGCGCCTTGCTCTGCGCGCCGCGTCGGCGCAGGGATTCACTCGGCCTCCGCGCGCTCGCCCTCCTCTGCCTCCCGCTGCCGAGTCGTTCTGAAGCATGGTAGACTCGGCTGCCCAGCAGTCCAGGCCCTCGGTCACATGGGACCTGGGCTCACCATCGGTTTTTTCGGCCTCCCAGGCGACTACCAGTTCCGGCACCAACCGGACCCGGGCCTCCCCGCACGTTAGATTCGGCAGCCAACCCGAAATCCACGTAGGGACCCACCCGCAGATCTGCTTCCTGCGGCCGCGGACCGCGCAGCCGCTGGTGCTCTTCAGGTGCAGCCCGGATGCCCAGGGCTATTCTCAGACCCCCGCTCCTCCAGTGACCCTTGGGACCTCGGCCGTGGCTCTCCCAGAGCCCCGAGCCCGTCAAACCCCAAGAGAGCCTGGATTTCTCACAGATGCGAGCCCCACCCAGCTCCTTCCCAGGCCAGCACCTCGCATCCCCAGGAGCTCGGGAGTCCAAACGTCCTCAGCCTGGACTCCCAGGAGAAGCTGGAATTCCCATCTCCCACCTGCGTGTCTTCCGAATCTCCCCGGCTCTTTAGTCTCCCAGGCTTGAGATCGTATAGCCCCGGGGTCCCCAGCGCCCTTTGGGCCAGCCTTGAACTTCCTTAGAGCCTAGCGAGGCTCAGGTCCCTTCAGGCCTGACACCTCTCTCCTCAGCCTCTACGTTCCCCAGTAGTCCTGGGAAAGCCCCTCAGCTCAGCCCGAGCCGCACAGACCCCAACTTCCCCTCCCTCCCTTCCATTCCACAGCCCTGGCAGCATCCTCTAGGCTCCCACAGAGGCCTTGCGTTGGAAAACAATTTGGTTCAAAATGACCGTTTATTACTTGAAAGGGGATATTTACAGTCTCTGTTCCCCCCACCTTTTTAAACTTTTCCAGGAAATATTGGTAAATTTGGTACACCACTGAGTAGGCGAAGAGCGTTTTATGTGTCTAAATATTTTACGTTTTTTTTTTTTTAACAGGATATGGGAGACGTTTTTATGTGAGCATCTCCTTTTTTGTATGTCAGCCTTTTTATTTTCATGCCTTTGTTGTCAGAAGAATGTAAATGGGAGACTGGGAACATTTGTTTATACTAGTCTATAAATGTAAAAACATTCATAAAACCATAGTTCCAGACTGGCTGAAAATGAATTAGAAATTTTTTTTTAGTCCTTCAGAATGCTTTAACCTTTAAATATTGTCTTTTTTGTCCTATCAAAGTAGTGTACACTTATAGGAAAATCAGACAAGCAAGCAAAATGAATGGCCACAGACAATCACTGTTAACATTTTGGTGTATATTCTTCCAGATCCATTCATATATAAGTACTACAACATGGTGATTCAATTTTGGGGGGAAAAATTTATCACAAGAAATTTCACTATTGTGTTACCTACTCCCCCCACCCCCCCACCTAATACACTATGGATATCTGTTTTATTCATGACTGCATAGTATTTTATTGTATGGCCTAATTAGAATTTATTCCATTGCTTCTCTATTGTACACTTAATTTACAAATTTTAGGAAGAAAATATGAACAATTATTTTGAAATGGGCAAAAACATTTAGAGGTACATATTTGCAAAACCACTTCATAGTGTAAGTAAATTATCAAATAGCAAAAACCTGGCATTATGCATTCTTGACCAATTCTTCATTTTGGCCAAATTTTTATCTCTAGTTTCACCTGGAGCACCTGGCTCCAGTCCATAACCCCCAACCACCAACCCCTCCCATCCCATCTTCTTCCTCTCATCTTAGGAAGTCTCCTCAAATCTTTTTCCACCACAAACTTCCCTCACTTTTCTAGACTTTTTCCAAACCCTCTTCCCTTAGAATTCCTTCTTCCCTTAGAAGTCCCCTGTTAACCAGCCTAACCGCCAGTCCTCTTTTTCCCTGCTTCCTCTGATCCCTCCCCCTGCCAATCTTTCTTAGACCTAGGCTTTGGAGCAAGTGCTCCCCACTTCACCCGCCTCAAATTCATCCCTCTGAACCCTACCCTACAACTTTTGCTCTTCTCTAAGACCCCCACCTCCCATCTCATCCTATTTTTTCTCCTTAAGATGGTTGCTTCTGAGGACAGTTTTGAGTCCTATTCACACTTTGGGCCTTTCCACATCTTTCTCAGGATGACTTTTCTTTTCAGCATCCAGAAAATACCCGTTTAGTGCACATTTTCTGCAAGAGGAAGCCTGGGCCTACTCCCTTGCTCCTCCGAAAATTATGGCAGCTGTGCCTCTCCTAAGAATCCTGGGGAAGCCTCAGTCACTCCCCTAGGACCCCATCAAATCAGTCCCTGTCCTAGCCCTGGCCCCAGCCATCTCACCCTGTGCCACTTTTCCCTCCCACTTCCAGCTTAATGAATTCCAGTGAAGCAGTGGCGAAAAAATTTTTACCCAAGAGCAACTTATCCCGGGTGATTATTCGTGACAATCTCAGTGCACAACGGATCTATGAGATGGAGGTAAAGTCATCAAAAGCTTTTGCATTAGAGGGTGTTAGTGGCTTGACCCATGTTCACTTCACCCTCACCAATAGCCTGGGTGGGGGTGGGGTGGGGGGGGATCACAGATTTTAGAGGTGATCAAGGTGCTCTAAAGCAAGTCTCATTTTACAGAGGAGGCAACTGAGATTCGGGGTTACTGGTTTGCCCCAGATGTCTCAGCTATTGCTGGGCCGAGGGAGCCAAGGAGAAGGATTCCATATTTTTTGGTTCTTGTGGCATTTTTCCCCCTCCAGTCATGTTATTTCTCTAGAGGATCCATGAATGGATTCCTACTGTCTCCTGTAGAAAGAAATCTTGGGTCTTGGAGTTTGAAATGGCATCAATACTCTTTGGTCTGTTTTTTCCTTTACCTGGAGGAGCACTGAGGCCCTTCCCCTTTCTGCTTATGGACAAGTAGGGTTGGACCTGCTTCCCCAAAATCCATAGAAGAAGGGGAGGGAAAACAGTGTTGTCACCACACAGACTCAATTTAATTCATTAAATGCATCATTAGGGGCTGCTTAGAATAGGCACTGTGTTGGGCACTAGGAAGAGGCTGGTGAACACGATGGACTGTGATAATGTATTCATTTCTTCAAGTGGAGCAGAAATCCCAGAGTTGAATTGCTGTCCCCTTCTTTTTTTTTTTTTTAAGATTTCATTTATTTATTTGACAGAGAGAGATAGCGAGAGCAGGAACACAAGCAGGGGAAGTGGGAGAGGGAGAAGCAGGCTTCCTGC